AAGAGTGGTTTCTCAGAAATTTTTCAAAAAGCAGAGCCAATAACTTGAAAGTTTGGCTTGAGATATTTGGTATTACAAGAGGAGCAGTGTTTGACAGAGTGAAAGCACATTTCTGTGCAGACTTACATCTATTTCTGAAACATCAAGTTACTGCTTTAGTGCATCCTTAATTCTAGATAAGAACAGCTTATATTAGAAGTTAGTGTGCTTTATTGGGCAGCATGAGTGCCCTTTCTTCTGTTTTATATTCTTTTCTCCCATAATATTGCCCTCAGTCAACAGTAGTATGCAAAATTCAGTTGAATGGAAAACACAAGGAAGTGACACAAATTCAGTCTGCTGAGAACCTTCATCTTCAATAAGAGCTGTTAGCTTATCTATTCTTGCCATCCAAATTTTGCAAGAAGCAAAGCAAGCATTTGATCTGTGAAACTCAACGGACTGTGATATGTAAAGATTCTTCCTGAGCACAGGTTCCTGAACCCCTTAACTTTTCAAATAACTGTCTTGGCCTCAGGTGAGCTAACCATCAGGGCTTTGTAATTCTAGGTGCTTGAAGTTGGCTTTATTCAACAGGATAGCTGGTCATATGACTTGAGGAGGCTCACATGTATGTTTAAGTCTTGAATAGTAATGTTGATATCTACTTTCAGCTATTCAGCCAGGGGAGATAGCTTGTAATATTGAATAAAGACAAAACAGTAATTTATCCAGACTAAAAATGATGTATTTTTCTTGTCAACGTGTGGGTAGGATTTAGTTGAATGGCTACCCAAGTCTTCAGATTAAAAAAAGTCAAAGAAGACCTTATTCTTTTGAAAGTTTACGGTAACTATTTCAGTAAGGGCAGGAATGACTCAATAGGGAAGTCATCTTTTCCAGAACAGTGCTTAGGACTGGTAGATTTATTACAAGAAGATAGGAGAATTGCTTCACAGTGGTTGAGTGCTGCCACTTCTGATGTCAAGCCAGTACTTTTTATGGCACTTTTCAAGATTAATGCAAGACTGAAGGAAATAGGAAAGAGAAGTCCTTGAATCTTCTAGTCAATAATGCAGAGAGAACAATTCTCAAACTGAAAGATGAGTAATGTGTTGGTATAGCCTCAGTGGCTAATCACTGCTGTAACTAGCTGCAGTAGCTTTTCCACTAGGCATTTAGGCATTATTGGATGTGATGGCTTTTCTTCCCTTTCCCCCCCTACCCCCTCCATCCTAGCTTGGCATAACCCTGCAGATTTTGAAGAGCTGAGCTTTTACCCAGGTCTGCAGAAAACTGTAACATTGAGATGCTTATTGGAAGTTCAAATTATTAAGCAGGGATGCCATTCAGGGGTATTCTAAAATGGTGTGAAAAGTTGTAATAGCTATATTAAAGGATATAATAGATTAATATGAGAGATCCTTAAGCAGATGTGCAGGTACATGCACTATGAAGTAACTCTGGTCTTAAACCAGTGTGGAAATCTGACTGGTATAAATGCTGGTGTGGTCACCTGTCTGCTCATCTTTTAATTTTTTCTGTGCAGCAGCAGTATTTTGTCATTGAATTCTGGGTGATCTACTGGCAAAAATACCTGGGACAAAGCATATTTCTGAGCACACATTCAAGGATTAGCTACTCTGTATCAGAGCCAGATTGCAGAACTCCTGAAGGATATTCATGTGCTTAATCACAGCTAATGTGGTATAGGTATTGCTTGCATGCTTATATCTGTGCTGTGCCACTGATCAGCGTGGCTAAATCTTTGACTACCACAAACTTGTTGTGCTGTTTACAAGGTTTTTGTTTTCATGTGTACCATCCTTTTCCATCCTGCTTTTGTGTTTTTCTGTGCTATACGTTACAAAGGAAATGGCAGCAGTTATTATTAATAAGTTGTCCCTTTACTGGCAACAATGAAGATACTCTGCCACTAGTTTTTAGATGGGTAATGTTAAATGATAAAAACAAGTATAGAGGGTGAGAAGACTTTGCTAGTAATTAATCTGGATTGATGTATAGTGCAGCAAATTCTGAGGTTGCAAGCAATGTTCCTATGAATATATGGAATTAGTATCTGTTTCTGAAAAGGAAGTTTTAAAGTTTGAGTACTCCTGAGAAGTGACATTTTCAGGACAATTTGTGCTCAGCCAATCAACAAGGGGAGAGAACAAGAAAAATCTTTTATACCAAATTACTCCATCATTAACTACTAAAGCAAGTTCTTGGCCTTTTTAGTCTTGTGTGACCAATATAACTTAAAAGATGTACTGAATCTGACTTACAAGATAAAGCAATGAAAGATTAAGTAAAATGTAAAATGGATCTGAGGAGAACATGCTGGTAAACATCCTAATACAGAGGGAAATAAAGGGGTAGTACATGCTGTCATGATACATTTGCTTAGCTTTAACTGTATTTGTGGGATGCGTCAGTACATTCAGCAATCATTTTTTGTCTTTTGCTTTTGGAAGGCTATGGGGCATCTGCAGTTACAATGGCTGGGATAAGCAGGTCTGAAGTTCTAATTTGATGTCTTGTTTCTTGCAGCATTGTTCTGTCCCACATAGTATTATGTCAGCTTAGAAGAAATTTGTAACTACATAGCTCCCTCAAGATGCAGTTTTTTCTTAATTGCAAAAAAAAGTTCTCTGCATGCAGAACTTTCCAGATAATGTTATGTGTGTATGGTAACATTATGGCTGAAAAAACCTACAAAAAATGACAGAAGTATGAGTGAAATTGCAGAAAGATTACGATGTTGGTTTCCAGTGTATAAGAGCTGACACATGTAGCTCACAGCTGTCAAGGAATGGAAAAGAGAAATGGTCAGGGGTAGAAACCATTTTCATTATCACATGGCTTTCTGTATTAATTGGCAACTTTTAAGATCATATGGCAACTAAGAGCAGGATTCCTGTAGACTTCTGTCCTAATTCTGTGTGTAATATCAGTCAGAAATTACTTTTTATTTAAATCATGTCATGAATGATAGAATAATCTGCATTGGAAGAAGAAATACATTAGCTACTATAAATGTGTATCTAGATATGTTTAATCTTTATATAATACTGTAATTGAAACCTGAATGTCTTGCTTGATTAACTTTCCTATTTGTTCTTAGTACCAAAAATTGATGGAAAAGAAAAACCCCTAATCAGTTATGAAGGAGATACAGCTGTCATGATCTGTACAAGTGGCTATACTCCTATATCTTGGACTTGGTATATGAACAATGGAAGTGAACAGGTAAGGCTTCAATCTGTTGGCCAAGCAAAACAATGTGGCAAAATACAACTACAGAGACTTTATAAAGTATAATGACTTTTCACTGGAGGCTCTACAGATTGCATTTCCATTGAAGTTAATGTAAATGTGTGTGGAAAAAAAATCTCTGACATTTGGAAGCATTCATTAATGCAAGGATGTAGTTTTTGTTCTGCTTTGTGTGATGGTTCTTTTCCTGAAAGTCCTTACCATGCTCTTACAGCATGGATAAGAGCAAAACAAATCAGATGAGTTGTGAGATACTTGTCTTTACTGTATTAGTGATAGTTATATTGCTCAAATCTTACTGCTTGATACTGACAAAAAAAATAAGATGGTAGCAGCACAATCCTTTAAAGGTATGTAAGGTGTTGGAGGTTTCAGGGAGAACAGGAACATGACCCTTCTCTCCATCCTGCTCTAGGTACAGGTATGTCTTCTCACTTAGCTTCGGCTCTAAAGGCTGTGAGGAAAAATGTTGCTCAGCAGTTTTCCTCCACATACCCACTTTTCAGGATCCCTGTTAGCCTTGGAAGCATAGCCACTTTGTTCTTGACCTTTTCTGGGGGAAGCGCTCGGAAGTGAGAAGAGGGAAATGGATGTCTCCTATATTTTGCTAGAGAGTAGCATTGAGTTGTAAGACTATAAATGTATTTCCCAGTGAAGCAGCATTCCCAACTCAGCTTCTTTGAAAACGTGTGCTTTGTGCTGTGGTGAGACTTGGACATTAGGTCCTGATACCTGAGGCCCTGTTTGTCAGTAGAGTGGCATGAGAGTCAAGGGCAACTTTGATCTTAAAATAGACTGAAATAGGTTAGACAACTTCCTCACTATTTTCCTCCATTGAATGTAAAGGGAACCACCTAAGACATTTTTCCTTTGAGACTGATTAAACATGCTTCATAAATGCCACTTGTTCTTAACTCATTTTACATCTCTTTAGATAGATCTGTTAATAAGAAACTCTTTGATAAACCCCTTTTAATTACATTAATAAGACTTGTAATATATATATATTTCTTTTTAGATTGCCATTAAGGACTCCTTGCTGGCTGACAAGTATGTAATTAATACAATATCTGCTAACATAACACATCTGAAGATACTGAAGGTCACCAAGGAAGATGATGGTGTATATTGGTGTGAAGCTGCATTTGAACTAGGGAAAAGTAAAGGAAAGCTGAAGCTTAAAGTTCTGTCCTACATGGTGCCTCTCAAACCCTTTCTTGCAATTATGGCCGAAGTTGTTATTTTACTAACCATAGTTTTCCTCTATGAGATGTATTCAAAAAAGAAAGAGAAACGTGCAGGTAAGTGTTTAAGTCTTTCCTAGCTTTCCATTGAAACTGTAGCCAAAGGTAGAAGAGGATGACCCATACCACTTCCTACCTGAAGTTTAGTGTGATTTTTAAAGTGGTTTTTTTGTTTTTGGTTTTTTTTTTTGATGAAATGCTTTCTTCTGGACCATTGCATTGCTTAAGGCTTTTAAATTTCACCAGTGGGTCTTGAATTCAGGTACAAAGTGCTTTTGATAAGCAATACTTTCTCATAAATGGTATGATATAATCTCTATCTTCTTCCTTATAAGACAAGGAATTCAGAGGCTGTAGTTTTTTTGAGAATGCAACTGTTAGTATTCTCGATGGGAGAAACTTCTGTCAAGGAATTCAGTAAGGGAAAAATACATCAAAACAAAAGGCACAGATTTTGGTTGCTGAGCCTGAGGTGCACATAGGTGAGTGGAAATAGCTGTGAAAGGTAAAACAGAAGTGACTAGATACAAAATCATTGTGTATATATATGTCAGATACATATGGCATTACACAGGTATACATACATGTATTTGTCTATATACATATTATATAATACAAAATTATGTGTATTAAAATCAGATAAATAAAACTTGATCAAAATAAGTGTTCTAACAAATTTGCAGGTAATACCATTGCATAAAGGAACAAGACAATTTGAATTACAAATTTAAGAAAACTAATAAAATAACAAAATGCTATTTTTGTTACTTACACATGGAGTAAATAATATAATGAAATAGAACTTTTCTGCTGTTTAACTTGAGACCTCATATATATAATCCTTTTTCTGTTACGCAGAAGATGAAAAAGAATTTGATCAAATTGAGCAACTGTAAGTAAAGAATTTATATACCATAGTTAAGTATTTGCACTTTTGCATATTAGTGTGTTGTATAAAATTGTACCTTGTTGTTGACCCAGATGATAAAGGTTAATAATGAATATGAAAGAACGTTTATTCCTTTCCTTAAAACTTCCTAATTTCAGAATGTTTAGGTTTATGTTTCCTACTTGGCACTTAATTTTTCTTCTTGGAAGATCTTTCACTTTTTTGCCAGATCACCGTATGTCCTCATTATAAACTTACCTTAAAAGGCTATAACTATGAGGAAAAAAATCACACACTTGGGTATTTTTGTCTGTATTAACATACAGTTCTCCCTCTTGCATGTGTTCAAAGCCCTGACTATCCTAGGTAAGCCTGTAATTGCTGGGGTGTTGGGAGCTGGTGGTGATGGCTGTGTTGTTGGTAACTCCAGCCTCTCTGGTGGGGGCTCTCACTGTGCTGATGACTTGGGCTCACTGAGCACAGGGTCAGCTGCACTTCCTGGAGCCAAAGGAGCTGGTATAGGCAGATCTGCTGGTGTTCTACTGCTTGAGGGGTCGTGCTCCTATGCTGGTTCTTATCTCTTCAAAATGATGCATTTCTAAAGGCTTGATTGCTAAAATAACCTCTGCATCTCCCCTTTTGCCCATTGTTTGAAGCCTAGTCCCCTAATTTGGCTTCTTAGCTTACCTTTTGTTTTAAGATGTGGCCAAGCAGTTCTCTTTTTACATATGTCCAGTCTAGTCCTGTCTTCTTCCTACTTAGTGCCTTCTTTTCTATGTTGATCTCCTTTTTTCCCCCTCTTATTAGTGCTGTCTTTCCCTTTTATAATTTCATGCTGCAGTGACGTTTTGTTTCCCTGTGTTGTAGCTACTTTCCCATTCCTTTTTCCACAGCTAGCTGAAAATATATCTTAGTGCTTTCCCCTTATCTAAACAGCTTTAAAGCTGCAACTCAATTATCCTATAAAGTGGGGATGTGTTTTGGGAATATAGTATGCTATTATATTGTAGAGTGCTTGGAGATGTCTTGAGTTGAAAATTGAATAATTGCCCTTGTTGCATAGCCCTGCTTCTTATAAACATGCTGAAACTGTATTAGAATAGGGTTGTAAGACAGTATAGTGCACTGAAATAGTATTTTCAAGCTTGATGAGACGTGGTTTTGATCATCTGCTTGATTTTTTTACTTTGGAGTTCTCCATATGCAGAAAATCTATTAAACCATTAAAATCATGCCTGACTTTAATAAAAAAGTGATTTCAACTGCTGTGTGTTCAGAAAATGGATTTGTGTACTAGAGAGAATGGCTCCAAAGGAACTTTTCTGTTCTGCTATGTCAAATGATGACTAATACACAGCTGAACTTGGTTGATGAAGCCATAATTAAAATGTCTAATCTATCAATGTATTAGGTGGGAGGCTAGTGATTCAGAAACATATTTTCTTTTTCTTTAGCAATAGAATTGTTAGTTCAAGTCTTGACACTTACCAACACCACCTGTATCTACTCCAGAAGAAACAGCTATAATTCTGAGGGTGTTGAGCTGCATACTGCTTGTATATTATTTGAACATTCACTTCATATACAAATTCTATACATTCAGTTAAATCCTAACAAAGTAGTAATGTCTGGGAATACTGTTACTGGTATAATTTCTGCCTAGAACTTTGTGGGATTTCTGAGGGGGACTGACTTGAGCTGAAATTCTTCAAGTGTCAGTATTCTGCTTGCTTAAATATTGTTTATTCTCCTTTTTTTTTCTTACAACTTTACATGCTAAGAGAGAGAAATAAATGTTTTAGATGGACTTTGTGATTGGATTGTGGGACTGGAATTACTGTGCTCATCCTATGCTTAGAAGTTGAGTTTTGGAATGTAACTTCTTTTTCTTACAGTAAATCAGAAGAAAGCAATGGTCTGGAAAACAGTAGCACTAGGCACAGAAGAATTTAGTCTTTTTCCTACAAAAGGTAAGTAAGAAATGAAACACATGGGAGTTTTCTTTGGGGAGTCTTATATAAGTACAAAAAAATCCACTGTGCCATCCCAATCTTTTTTTATATGGGAACAGCATAGTAGTAGAACAATTTTTTAGATAAAACAATATATACTCATTCATGATGTAACATCAGTAAAAGTTAGTCCAAAACCTTTTAATTCTGTGCCGCTGTTGTGGTTAAATAGTTCTCTTCACCTGTGCAGTTCTTAACAGAGGACTCAGATTATTCTGTTCCTGATCATGAAACATTTATATGAATGCCAGGGTAGGTGCTGAGATGTGTAAGAATTTCTGATGTATCCAAAATCCTGCTCTTTCAGGCTGCATTTTGGTTGTCAGATGAGTTTATGGAGGAAGGATGCAGGTTTAGTAGCAAGTGGGGAATGTGACAGTAACAGAGATAGGAAAGAAGGGATTATAGGAGTCTAGGAAAGGTGTGGTTTACTAGATGGTAATTGAAGGGATTAGTGGCAGGAGAAGCAAGTATGTATGTAGCTTAATGGAAGCTATATAATGAACTTTTCTGTTTCTCTGCCTTCTTTATAGTCTAATTACAGGCTACTCCTCCTATTTATGCCAGCTGAAAATGCTTGTCAGGGGCTGGTCTGTTAGTTAAGGACCCATTCTCCATACTCTACCTATTTCCCCTTATTATTGCCCCTCTGTGTCTGGTACCCCCATTTCTCAGATGAGAGGTGTGAGTGAGTTTACATTCATGTTGCTGTTGGTACTGTTTTTCTTTGCTTTAAGCCATCTACCTGAAGGGAGATTGTTTCCATAACCTTTATTTTAAAGAACCGAAAGAGAAGTGTGAGGTAAAGTTCATATAAAGACCGTAACAAATCAGAAAATAATCAAGAACAAATACTTTGCAGGAATATAGTCTCCTCCATTTTCTGCACTTTATTGTAGTTGTAAATTGCTGTGACTGAGGTTCCCAAGGATCCCATATTGGATCTAAGGTCCCATTCTTCTGAAGTCCTTTTGGCACATGATGCTTAGCAAATCACTAAGGATTCCGATGTGCAATTTGAACACTTAAAAAAACCCCAACAACCTGTAATATATAAACTAGAATGAAATGTATTTTCAGAGAAATACAGGAAAATATAAAGCAGCAAAACAATATAATTTGTGTTACAAGGAAATGTTCTTTTTTAATTCAGGAGCTTTAAGCCAACCAAAGAGTGAAATCATTACAAAGCTACTGAAGATGTATGCGGCTATGCGTTTTAGACATCCACTGTGCTTCTGAGTAAACTTCTCTACATTTTTGAGAAATAAGATGCTTTCAAAATAGTTGTGAAACTAGTCATCTTGTATAGATGATAATGTATTCTGTATACTCTGTATTCTGCATTTAGACCTCTGTCTGTAGCATGTTTTGTCATTGTATTACTAAAAGGCATTTTCTATATAATTGACATCCTGTTGTTTTTTGACTGATCCATTTGATTTTGTCTTAAACTGAAACTGACTGTGCATTCACTGAATGAGCAGGTAATACAGAATGTGCCTATTATCTAAATATTACGTAGCTGGACTTGCCGAATCCAAAATGTATTTGCACCAAAGAAAATGCCTTTTACTAGTAGGTGAAACAAATGTAACAGCCATTTTTGCCAAAGTAATGGTCAAAGGGAAATCTTTATCATGATTTAAATGAAACATTCACAGTTTTGTAGTTTGCTCTGAACAATGTAATGTCTTCATTCTAAATTTTTGAGCTTAATTTAAATGAGAAATATAGGTTCTTTGTGAATACTTAAGATATAAATTGTTTTACCGTGTCCTGCCATTTGTCTGTGCTGCTATACTGTAATTCTACATAGGCTAAACATTTAAATCGCTGTAGGTCAGATATTTCAACAGTATTTCAGGGTAGATGTAAGGAGCAAAGGGGATATAGTAGTCTATCAGAATATAACAAATAATTTATTCAATTTCCAGACATTTCTGCAGAATCTGAGGGCTGAAAGACCAGTTTTGTGATTTTAATTTATGCAGAACACAAATATCATAAATACAACTATACCTGTATGGTTCTTATCACATATCCTGTTTTCTTGGTACTCTTACTTGTTGCAGCATACTGTATTGTCCTTAAACTCCTCCCAGAGCAGGTCTGCCACAGTTTAGTGTAATAGCACAAAGCAGCATGAATACCACTAGTTCTCTTAGAGGTAAAATTGTGACACTGCTGCTAAGGCTTGTGGTATTGCTTTAGAAGAGCTTATTGCCAAAATTTTAAATATACCATTTAGTCACATTATGCATTCAGGAATTGAGAAATGTGAAGCTAATAGAAAAACAGTTAATTGAATTAGTTGCCTTGCCAATCTAAGGAAAAAAAATAACTTCCATATTAAGAAAGGGAAAAAAGTATTTCAAAAGGATTCCTTCTCTCAAAAATTTAGGGGAAAAACAGGCAGCATTTGCAAATTCCCTAGGGAAGCAAAAGGAGTAAAACATCTGATTTTTTTCAAACCAGACATTTCTCTTAGGGCATAGATAAGGAATAGAGAAAAGTAAAAGATAAAATAGATATAATTTCCTTGTTACTATTTTACTGTTCTTATAGGTTTGAAAATACCAGCCTAGCAACTGTTTTGTTGGAGATGGGGACAAAACCCAGTCTGATCTGTGCTTTTTTTTGGTTTTGATACTATATTTTGCAGCTTTGACAATGACAAGGAAAAGTTCAAATAAAAAAATGGGAAGTATGTAAGCATTAAGTGATTGACTGTAAGGGCTGAATACTGATAAAGATTTCCCTTGCTGAAATAGTGTTAATTGTATTTTACCTTGGGGTTTCTATGCACTGTAAAAATCAGAATTCTTTTACAGGTTTTTATAACTTTATCATTGCTTTAACAGCATTTTTGTTACCACAAGTAAATGCTTGCTGTTTAAAAAAAGATTTACTTCTATATATTAGTAATTAAAAACATAATTTTGTAGAAAAATGCTTTTGTAGAAAATTAGTAATAAAAAAGTAAGCTTACTTACAGTCTTAAGAATTAAATGTTGAATTTAATATCTTTTGTGACAAAAAGGAGGCTAGGTACTACCTGAAAGAAGCTCACCTTTTAATTGGAAATAAATTTGTGTTCACTGAACATACCTACCTGGTCTTGAAATTGTGGTGTGAAGTCTTGGCTAGCACAGATAAGTTACTGAATAGATACTTTTTTGGTGGTATGGCATGGATTTTAGATTGTGATGTGTTCCTCCTGTCAGTACTGTACTTGAGTTTGGTAAAACTGACTGCTGTATCTGTAGTTTTGTCTTGATTGGAATTCCTCTAGTATATTCTGCTTGACAGTTCTTTGAGGTGTTTTGGTGTTTATTCTCAGGTTGCCAAGTATTTTATTTTGGTAAGTGGTTTTATTCCTTAAATGTATGCTTAGGTTCCATTCTTTTGGGATCCCATGCAGGTGCAACTATTATAATATTATAAAGATAAATATTAAATACTTTGCATCGTTAACAGTCATAACTTCAAAGGCATAAACCTTTTTTAGTACAGGTACCACACAGAAAGCTCTGGAAATCTGGAAACGTATATTTGGAGAAATACGTGTCATGTGTTACAGAGCAACTGCAGTAGGAATGTTTTTGTATCTGTTTTATTATGAAACATAGTCATGTTACGTAGAACAAAAATTTGGCAACCTTAAAACCCCAAAACTCTAGGCAATTATTTTTACCTCATTTAAGCCAAGAGATACCCAGTGAGAGGCAAAATGATCCTTAAGATATTTCCTTCAAACAGCAGTTAGAGTTAAGTGTGAGGATCCACAAAACTAGTTTTATTAATAAACATTGATTTGTAATTGACTTACATGGGTAGGCTCAGTCTAAGCATTGCACCTGTTTAGCCAATCTTGTCAGCTGTGATTTCTTGCAAGATGTGCAAGGTTACGGGTTGTTGGCCAACAAAAGCCTTTTGCAAGAGGAAAAGTTTTGAAGTCTGTAAAAGAATGCTGAAGAGCTGTTTTGTAGTGTTTCCAACTGGTGACTTCAAATTCCTCCTTTCCTGAGGTCCAGAGTAGACACAGGTGGCTGTGAGACCAGGTTCCTAGTGAAGCATGACAAATACATTTTCCAAACTGAGCTCAGAACTGTATGAATATTTCCTTAGGATAGAGACCTAAGAATTACCCAGTAGCAGGCCAGGATAACTAAGGGATTAGCTATAGATCATTTGACACAAACAATCCTGAGGAAGAGAGGAAAACCCATCAGTACTGATGTTGATATTGAAATCTGCATCCAAGTGATTATCTTTTTCAGCCTAAGAAAGAGAGTTATGTTTTGCCTTTAAACTCATCCTCAAAACTTCTAAACACTGACTGCTGAGCAATTCAAATAAGAAAGAAACTGGTGCCTTCAGTATAGGGGAAGTTTCTCAGTTGAGTGTGGTCTTGAGCTACCCAGCACATGCAGACTGACCACAATCAGCCACATCCTGTTGCAGTTCTAGCCTGGAGCTTTCCAAAAAGAGGAACTGGCAAGCAGTGAGTAAGAAACACATTGAGAATAGTTGTAGGACATGAGAAGGACCTGCAGGTGTTTCATAGGGGTCCTGAGGGACAGGCAGCATCAGCTGAGATGACTTGCAATTACATGCATACAGGGAAGACAGTGCAAACCTGTAGGAGAAACAACTTGTTTTAGCTGTGCCATGTAGGGTGTTTCTGTAGAAAGTTCTGTACAGTGACTGAACACAATCTGCCATTGCTAAGCACTTGGACAGGTGAAAACACAAAGTCAAGTGATGCTTCATTAGAGGACTGGAAGTTACATTTTTGGGAAATTTTTCTCCACTGGTTTTAAATAGTTTTGCAGTCATGTTATTTTCTTATGCTAAAAGATGCATATATAATGCATTAAACAAATGAAAAAAGTTCCAAACTTAACAACTTGTTACTAAAGCACCTTGAATTGTCTG